GGGCGCTGTGTCGAAAGAAATAAAAGAAAATTACTTACTATATTTGGTCATTGCAAGATTCGGAATGCTTTCGGGGGCGTGGCTTGCATAATTATTTCAAAAATTATTCATGAACGGTACCGTTCGCTTTGTGGACGGTACGGTACGCTTCTTGCACGGTACGGTTCGTTTTGTGTACGGTACGGTTCGCTTTGTGCACGGTACGGTACGCTTCTTGCACGGTACGGTACGCTTCTTGCACGGAACGGTACGGTTCGTTTCTGAGGTGTAGTAGCACGTTTTAGGGTCTGTAAAAAGGTTCTATGTAAATTAAGTTTTTGGTGTGCCTAGATGAAGTTTCGGTCAAAAGAGGATTGATATTGCATATGAGATTAAACTTTGATTAAACATGACAAAATTCAAATGGAACAGCAAAATTTATCATGACTATTTTTTTCACCATAAATGAGTAGAAACATATTTATTTAAAAAGAAATAAATTAAATACGTTCACAAAAACTTGTAAGTTTGAAAAGTTTTTGAACTTTAGTGAGAAACTTTTCAAAAATTCTTTGGAACAGCAAAGTCATGATTAGTTCTATTTATGATGAATCGTCCTCAGAAAGTATAGATTGAAGAGTGTTCTAATCACACCTAAAAGGCATAAGAAGGAGGAACAGGAGTAAAGTTCAGCAAAAATCAATCTGTTTCCGTTTTTTTGTAAAATTTACATCTTTTCACGATTTTTTCCCTTATATTGAGACGCCACTTTCCCGGTAGAGGGTTGTAAGTTAAGACCTGGCCCCAGGATTATGAAACAGACTTGGACTTAAGTCAAAATTTCAGTCGTCCATAAAATATTTATTACTTGTGAATTAAAACTCGTAATTTGTATGCAACAGCAGTTTATTGCTGCAAAGTGAAAAAAGCATTTTCATTTTGGACTGCTACATTTCTAAATCATTTTAGTGGATTATACATTTTTTGACTTATGCTTAAGATGTTTCATCATCCTGGGGCCTGTACACCGCACTTAAGAACTTCTGAGCAGTACCTAATTCGACACAGGGTTTTGGTGCATACGGTCTTATCCGAAGTAAAAAGTCGACCTTTTCATTATCTTTTTAAGAACAGTTAGGTCATTATAAGACATTTGGTTATAATAATGACTCAGGTTAGCCTTGTGGCCCATGGATCTCATTGTTTCTTTTATTTTTCAGTATCAACTTTTGCAGTTAACGGCAATAATGATATTTTTTTTCTTAATGCAAACATGGGGCTCATATCGGTGGGACTTGTCGACAATTGAAGGACCTGATCCTACTCCTGATGTTTTCAGAGGTTCGAGATTGTGCCCCGTTAACGATTGCTTTTATCCATAGTATTTCTAAGATTTTTCACTATTCCTTATATTCACCTTTTGCATTTATCCGCTGAATATCCAAAGAGTTAAGGTCAAAATTATCTTACCCTGAACCGTAAGATACATGTGCATTGCTTTGGTATTCAGCTCACTTGAACTTTTATATGATCTGATTTTTTCAGATCACCAATCATTCAGCATCCTTTAATCTAGCTGTCTGTCTGTCTGTTCGTTTGTAAATTGAATTTTTTTTAATCTGACAAACAGCAGGGCTAAATTAACTCAGCTGCGTGTTGTGTCTCCTAGGTTTCTTAAGGTAAAATTCGATATGAATTTCAACATTAAGTTTTATATCTGTAATAAGTTCTTTTGGATTTTGTACGGCTGAGAACAAATTGAAATGTTAACAAAAAAATTAATTAAGGCAAATAAGCAAATAATAATAATAATAATCTCTCTCTCACCTTTCACACCACACTCAAACTAGAAATAATACGAAAACAGTTATTAAGTTTAAAAATATCTGATACTAAAATTACTTTTAATTCACAAGTCTTTGCGAGTAATGAGATTAATTATTTATAGTTCTAGAATCTTATTCATTATACTCAAAATCCATTCTATTCCTTACTGAAACAGTATTTTGCTTGTAACTTGGCAACAATTACTGGGAACAAATAAATTTGTATAATTTGTCAGATTATTTAATGGCTATAACTCCCCCCCCCCCCCCCAAAAAAAAAAAAATACAGCATTTCTATCGCAAACGCTAATTCTGATAAAAATATTAAGAAAGCACCAGCTAGCATATGTTATATGTTATGTTATCTTTTAATCAATTCACAAAATCAACAAAATCAACATAAAAGCAGAATACCGTAGACAGGGGTGTGATCTCTATAGACCAAAAGTACATTAATCAATCCCGGGTCACCTTGCTCCTGTTATTTTTCTCCCTTTATTCTGATAAAATGAACTTTTATAGCAGGAACACCGGGGTATACATCCAACAGGCACTTTCAATTTTATAAACATTTTTAGGGTTTTATATAAATTAACGCCATTTTTTTATTTTTAAAATTTTTTTCGTCATATATTGCTGCTTCTCGAATCCAAAAAAAGAAAGGCGGTAGATTCCTTCAGCTCAAACTGACTACGCAGTATAGTTAATTAATGTCTCGGTGAATTTATTTTAGATAAAAACATTCTTTACAAGGATGGGCTATTTTAGGACTTTACTGATATCGGACAAATGTAATGTGGTTCAAATCTACATGTTGAGAACGATTATTGTCGACGGATTTTTCCGTTATTTTCCGATATCCCTCGTTTTAAATTCGCCCAGTCACAGTTCTGTTTATGAAAATATACTGTCTTTTTGCATTCGCTCCGTCTTATATTTGATCATTTGTGTCTAGGGCGAAAGGGGCGAAAATAAAACGGAGGCGAAAATTTACCTGCATACAGTACTTCATTCGAAAACGGCGAAGAAAAAACATCCCAGTACTGAGAAAAATAAGGGGGGGGGGGGGGTATATGCTATGTTCTTTCTATATTAGTCGCAAGCTGGTATATATAGCCCTAACTCTCAAACGCTTCTTAATTTCGAATTCTCTCAATCAAATTTTCATACGCAAAATGTAAAACACTTGTATTCGGCTTATACACAGAGAGCTTTTCTTACATTAAAAAAATGTACTTGATACTTGTAAATTATTTACAGTGTCATATAGGTCTGATAGTCAGGGTGTTTGTTTAAATTTATTTTTTAAATGCATTTCACAATTTGTTAGCCTGCATATACATAGCGACTACACGAGATTCAATTACAAAATAAACAAATAATAATTATGATGTTTGAAATAATAATAATAAGTAAAAGGAAAATACATGTACTGTAATTAAATTTCATCCGTTTTTAGTGTTGAGGCTTGATTCCATCCTGAAAAAGTTTCGCCCCGGCAAACATGGTGTAATACGCACTTTCCTTTGAGGTGAAAAATACGTGAGCACATAAAACCCTTCTCGTTTTTGGCTAAGAAATTTACGAAATTTTCTTTTTGCATACCATAACTTTAATGCACTCATTTTGATTGACTTTTAGCAGTTTAGTAACATAGTATATGAATATTGCATGCTAGCTAGGGTAACATTGGAAATTGTCACCCTCGAAAACCATTGTTGACCTCGGCGAAGCCTCGGTCAACAATGGTTTTCTTGGGGTGACAATTTCCAATGTTACCCTAGCTAGCATGCAATATTTATTATATTATACTGAATGTTATATATAAAATGTTTCACAGTGTATGTATCAAAATGAAACAACTTAAGTTTACTTTTTTTTTAAAAATGTCTTTCTTTAATCATAAGTCAACTGAATTCAATTAATATCACAGAACACTGTGTTGAAAGAAATGAATATCACATAACACCATGTTTTTAATTAAATAAACATCGTATAACATATAACATTAACTCAACAAATGGATATCTCAGAACAAATGGATGTCTCAGAACAAATGGATATCACAGTTTGAATGGAACATAATATTAAGGATCAGTTCAAAGAAGTTCACTATTTACTTTGGGGGCACAAAGTTGAAATGAACCACATAGTTATTGAGAGATGGGTATACATTAATGCCCATTGAACTGACATTGGCGGGTACTGAATTTAAGTTTAAGAAATTTAGTGGCTGTGGAGATTCCACCGATTTCTCTTGGTTTGTGGGAACTTCTGAAAATGTACTGTCATTAAATATAGCATCGAGTTCCTCCATAGTTATATCTTTTAAAGCAACGTTTTCATTCTCTTTCTGATCATCTCGTGATCCTAGAATTCCACTTAAACAGTCTGACATTTCCCGTTTCTTTGGATCACTGAGTCGACAAGCATAACTTCTAATTGAAGCTTCACTTTTATGGCCTGATGCTCTCATAATATGCCGTGATTCTATCCCCGCATCATTAAGAGCTGTTATGGCGGTAGCTCTGATGGAATGGTTTGTGTACATGTTGGAAAAATTCCCAAGTTTGGAGATCGCTGACATCATGGTTCCCAGAATGTTCTTTCCTATAGCTGCACGACAATACCACACCCTGTTTGACTCAAGATATGAATCCAAAGGACGCTGCCATAGAGCATCAATCTTGGGGTGCAGTTTATCTAAGTATTTCAGGAAACATCACATTTCCTGGCTGCGCGTATATTCTTCCCTCACCAATAGTGTCATCAGGGGTTCCATCAACACTACAATATTTTAAGAAAATATAAATTTATTTTTAAGTGAAATTTCAAATGTAATATATTTGTATTTATGTGCAACATAAAGTAATTTATACCATCTATCGATTCATTGTATTGTTATGTATTCTTTCCGGATATCTATCGATTAATTGTATTGTTATGTATTCTTTCCGGATATTTTAATGCCACACTCAACCTAGGTTTATATCGGTAACTTGAACTTATCACGTGATCATTGTTTATCTCTAGTCTGCACACTTTGTCTGAAAATGTTTTGACCCACCGTTCAGCAAAATTATTTCCACTTTTGTGCATTATTCTGTTTCATGGATACGGTTTATAGACACTGTAAGTAATATGTGCGAACAATAACATGATTTTCCTAGTTAGAAAGGCTTGAATTTAATCGTCGCACTTTGTGGTATCTGTGACTGTACATCATGCGGTGATGCTGAGGATAGAATGACATTAAAAGTCCTTATTCTGGGGCATTCATTTATACGCAGATTTGAGAACTTTGTATCAATTAGTTCTGATCATCGGGTGACGCCGAATTTAAATCTTAATTCAGAGGAGCTACAGATTTTCTATTTAGGTTATGGGGGAGCGTCACTGGCTCAAATTCGCGCGCAAGGCACTCGTTATGTACGAAACCTGCGTCCAGATGTTGTTTTGTTACAAGCTGTATCAAACGATTTGTGTCGGAGAAACACATCAGTGGAAGACATTTTTCATGAACTTGCGGACTTTGTAATTTATTTCCGTGATGCGGAAGATGTGAAAAAAGTAGTGGTGCTTCAGACATTGCATAGAATTCCCCCGACAAGACGTATCAGGTTTCATGTGGACACAGAGTGGTTTAACAAGATAGTTGATGAATTAAATAGACGCATGTCCAATTACTTGCAGAATGTAGAGGGAGCAGCATTCTTTCGCCTATCAGGTTTCTGGTGTCCAAATAATCAGAGGACGGCATTTCTGGCTGATGGGGTCCATTTGAATAATCAGGGAAATAAGAAATATTATAATAATTTGAGAGCTGTTATTGTTTCCTTGATAAAGTCTATCAATAATGGTGGGTACATGTTTGTGCAGCATTTATATTTAGTCTAATGATACATTTTACAACTTTTATCTCTTTATTTTGAAAATCCACATATGCAGTGGTGATTTAATGCAATCTAATATATTGATGCATATAGCCATATAATTACTATATCATTTAATTTATACATTTATGACACCCCCGTAAAGTTGGGGTTGTTTAATTGGATCTTGTGTATTATTTATTAACAGCTTATTTAAAACTAACTATAAATTTTAATTTTGGCAGGATTTTACACCCCTATATGGTCGGGGTTTAGTTTTAGCAGGATCTTGCACCCCTATATGGTCGGGGTTTGAATTATAGCAGGTTTTGCACCCCTATATGGTCGGGGTTTACTCAAGCAATATCCTGCATTAAGATACATACATTCCAATATTGTTGAGATTTCTAGAGGTTTCTTATCTATAAAATTGTCAAATATGTAGATATTTTTGGAATTCTGCATGTATAATCACCTCGCATTTATAGAGCATAATTAAATATATAACAGAAATGCTATAATTTTAGACACAGTTATAATACACTCCACTGTTATTCTTATCTGGTGAAGTATCATAATTGCTTATAAATGTAGCTGTAAGGCTAGCTAGAATTTTACTACCAATATTGATTGGGTATTAAATGATTTAGATTTTAGAAGTATCCAATGATGTTAAACTTCATGGAGTGTATATTTATATGAAGAATTAAAAAAAAAATTCTATTGGTGCCTTCATTGGTCTTGTTTAGAGCTCTGAAATATTTTTATTGATAATGTTAATAGCTCTCAAATAAATATTGTAGATGAATGAAACAACGGGGTCCAAAAGACCGGTCAGGGGCAAGAGGACAAGACCTGTACTTGCCGCTGCAGGATCAGCAGAACAGGCGGCTCAGCAGGAATCAGAAGTATATAAATATAAATGTATATTGGTTCATAAGTGTTACCTGTGATTTTTATCAGCCTCCTCAACAGCTTGGAATACAAACTGTCGCCCACGGGAATCTGTGTTGACTCCAAATGTTGATTTTGTTATGTATCTTAAATTTTCTCGCCCCGTTCGACACATATAAAACATAGCATCAAACCAGACTTTCATCTGCAGGCCACATGGTGTATTAATGTTAAATACTACTCTGTCTGAGTTGTAAAGTTTTCTCAGGTCCTCTTGAGTAATCGGAGGTTTGTGGACGATGGAGCCATATCCCTTTTTTTCATGTCCGTAACTTTTGCCTTGAATACTTTTTTGCAGTCGCTAAATTCTGGATCATTGATATCAATTTTGCATGTTTCTTTCAAGTATTTGGAAAGTCCATACTTAATGCTCTGAAGGGAAGTTACCTTCAAATTATCCCCGGATTTTGATCTGATCGACACGGAAAAAAGTCTCAAATTTTCATTTAGTTGATCCTTCGAGAAACTCTCAAACTCTTGGTTGATGTTTTTCTGGGTCAGGAATGACCTGAATAAATTCACCGACCTTTTTATGGTCCTCTGTGTACTCTTTGAATCTTTTTCTTCGATTAAACATTTAATATGGTCTTCATCAACGCTTGCGAACATTATGATTTTTTATTCAAACGATTTTCGTTTGGTTTACCAATCTAGGTCGATTTAATTAATTGGAATACATACATTTCACATATTGGAGATTCCCTTAAACATGCACAAAAAGCATGCAGAAAGGTAAATATGCTTAAAATAAACATACCAATGATTACTGACTTATTATGCATCGTGTCTCAAAGCACTGCATATATTTATGCCATCACCTTATTTTTATGGTGTAATTTTCGTTGCATAGAAATAGATTGATTTCCTTTTTCTGTTAATGCAATGTAATTACTTAGACACATCTCCCAGTGCTAAAGAGTGATAATATAAAAGCGAAACATTTTTCTAAATTCCTGGATGTTTCAAACATTTAATTTAACTTGTTAGCTATATGTATATTGAATAATTATGATGATTGTAAAAAAAAAAAAAAAAAAAAAAAAAAAAAAAACTTCACTTGAGAAAGAATATTTTCTAGTGACATAGAGTAACCACCCCTGGTAATTCTTACAACTAACCTTCCCGAAGATATGTACAATAACAACAAAATGTTCCTGACATTTATATTGTATGCTTTTTTTTATACATTGCTCTGCCGCAGTTCTTTTCAAGAGTTACAGCATATTATATCTAAACGGTTTATAAGGAAAATTGGAGAGCGCGTATGCAACTTTTTATTGCATAAGCTACAGTTAATTGCCTGACGTCACGTGCGTCAGACAGTATAAGGATTAATTTTTCCAAGATCCGAAACTAAGCGATCATTCTTAATGAACTAGATTTCGTGCAAGCTGATTTACAACGGAATTTGTTACCTGCATTTAAAGAAAAACAGTTTACAGAAGAAAGAATCATATTACTGATGCAATTTAATGATGTGTTTAATTCCTTCAGTTTTTTGCATGCACATGCTTATTCTTTGCAATCCTTTGTATGGACATGTCCGTGTAACATTTTTTTCTGCGTTTCTAAACTACTGGATCAGTCCATTTGCCTTCTACAAAAGGGGTGAAACAATCATTTCGCGCCAAATGTCCCATGTAAATTATCTTCGCGCCTTTTTCTTGGATTGTTCTATTGAATGGGTGTGATAACTTTTATGGAAATAAATAAAGTTTATTCTTTTAACCTGATTCTTAAGCTTCAGATTTTTTTATTAACAGTAAATTTTATCTCATTTTTTTTTTATAAAAACACACATTGTATATGGGCAGGTAACATTTAAAAAGCAATGGATTTGCTGATTATTCTTACTATTTATCCTATAAGTGGACTAGTCCAATTATAAACAAACTCCATCCAATGTAAATGGGACATCCCTTCTTGATTCAGTCTGTTTTCCATCTTTTCTTTCAATATTACATTTATTAATAAAGTACGTTACAAGGATAGGCTTTTTAAAAAGCTTAGAAAGTCAGCCAGTAGCATATTATTTCATGCTTTGTGATGAACAAGGGTTTCCTCTTAATACAGTGACAACAGTGTAGGTCAGTACCCGTAGAGGAATGGGTTCACTCCCGTAAGGTTCTAAGTAAAGAATCGGCAAAATGAAGAAGACATCATGATCTGTACTGGTTTTCATTTATAAAAAAAGCACGTTATTATAAATTATGAAAAAGGTCCTGAAATCGATTGAAAAGAAAAACTGAACAATTTTAAAACTGTAGGGCCTACAAAAAGATGTATTTTAAACTCATTTATAATACATGTATATGGTAAGACCATCATCGCGTGAGTTTTGTCCGGAGGGGGGGGGGGGGGAGGGGTGTTATTAGTATCTTGTTTTGCTCTAGCTATAAACTGTACAGGCCATTTACTTTGAGTTCTAGAGCAGCATTGAAGCATTTAATTTTGTCTCAAACACTTTAAGACAACTTTCCCATTTAAAAGTGTTCATAATTTACTTCGTCGTTGAAAACGACAGAAAAGAGACAAGTCTATAAATAGAGACCGTCTCATCAATTTATCACTGACGAGAGTGTGCATGAAGAAGGGCGCCCTCTGGTAAGAGAGTACATGTAATATGAATTTCTTTAAAACAAATCAATGAGCTATTTTCCCCAGAATTATAATCTACGCTAGGGCACTTGCAGTTTCATCCCAACGTAACTAGGCAGCCCGTGGGCTAACTAATAAATGATCACCAAATAGTGGCATGTCTTAGATATTCGTTAATCTGTAGTATTTGGTTATGACACTTGAGAAAGTCAATTCAGGCCCGTAGGAATTTCACTTTGAGGGGTCAGAACCATACATTTTCAGTTGGGGGGAGGCACTATGAACTACCAAAATTCCTTGACAAGCATAAAAAAAAGTCATCAGACATTATTATTGAGGGGGCACAAGCATATAGCAGCTATGTTTTCTATAGTATTCTATATATCGGCAAAATTAGGGGGGGGGGGGGGGGGGCACGACTCCCCCGTGTCCCCTCCCCCGGTTCCTATGGCGATGCAATTGTACATCAAGATTATGTAATGAAGTATCGCAACTATGTCGCTCCTTGATGACGGAAACGTTTAGCACCTCTTTTGCTTATACCTTCCATAGATATTGATTAATTAGTCAGGCAAGATTTTTGAAAAGCTTTTACTTGTGTGAATTTAAACTTTGTGACGATAATCTATCCAAGTTCCATTTTTACGATAATTACATGTAATTTGAGGTTAGCAGTCCTCAAGTATATTCTTAGTTTAGCATAAGAAATTTCAATGACTCGGAATCTTGTGCATGCATTCATGAAGTTTAATTTCATTGTTATCAACAATCAACATAACATATTGCTTATACATGTATTTAATTCCGAATTGTCCGGAATGTTGGAGAACGTTTTTCCTATACGGCAAAAGATCTTTGGGGATGATTTCCGATGTATAGGAAAATGTATCCTTTAAATTATACTTACCAGGGGAAAATAAATAACGTTGTATGAACATAAAGTGATGAAGACGGTAAAAAGGTTTGCTGTAATGCATTAATTCCGAAGAAGCTTTATAAATAGGTCGCCCGCGTGGCACAGTGGTTAGAGCGTCCGCTTTAGAGTCGCGGAGAAAGAAGCTGACCTTTTCGTCGCGGGTTCAAATCCACTGCGGGACCTTAAGACCAGTCTTTGGTATAAACCTAGGTCCACTGTCGCAGTAAGTGTTGGCACGACAAAGATCCCTAACTGCTCAATGGTCCTGAGTGCCGAGTATAAGTATAAATTTGCATAAAATAAATAAAGTGAGTGAAAAATTCTCTAGAGGGACGTAAAACAACAAATAACTAACAAAACATATAAAGAGTAAATATTCAAGGGAAGTACACACAATAACAATCATTAGCCAGAGAAATTATATCGCTGGACGGACAGAGAGATGTTGATTTGAAAACTATAAGCACTTGCTGTAATGCTCCCTCTAAACATCAAATAAAGCAATTATATTTCAGTCGTAGATTTCAAATCAGTTTTCCTAAAAACTAAGTTCATTATATGTACATGTACACACACACACTTTCAAAACAATAAAATCAAATGCCAATGAAACTATTTTAGATGACAAATTAGCGAAATTTTATCCCCGCTAAAAATTATGTTTCTACAGTTTATATATACGAGGCTGTTTGGAAAGTTCGCAGACTTCTGTCATAACTTTTTTACTTAACGTTACATTATTTTCATAAATGGTAGAAATGTTTTATCTATAAAATCGAATGATGTATATTAAAACTTTTTAAAATAATGTGATTTATTTCAAACTTATCCAGAATTAAAAACTGCAAAAATCTGATCACGGAGCATGTCCAAATTTAGAGATTTACATACAATACTCTAAATAATGTCTGTAGTCATTTCCTCTGTGAAATGGAACAAAAACCATACACAAAAAAAAAAAAAAAAAAAAAAAAAAAAAAACACCTAGACGTGCAAATTAAGAATTGTTACATCAATACATATTCTATTCCAAATTATGGCTTTATACTTTGCTTCGTTGAAAAGAAATCAAATTCAGAAGATAGATAGTCCTCATTGTGAGAATGGCTAAAAAATGATGACGTTGTAGAACGTCACGGAGCAGTAGTTAACGATATAATTTTGTGTTGTACACATGTACCTGGCTTGGTCAATGATAAAGGAGTCCAACTACTGGTGATGAGTTTTTTGGTTCATTAACGTAAGAACTGTAAACAAATACAAAATTTCAATCATTCAACATCAATGAAGCAGTTAAATTTAAACTTTTTATTGAGGTTGAAAGAAATATCTACCCATCCCACAGATATAAAGCTATTTTCAGCACGTATAGTTTCCTCCGATACGGTTCTTATTTTCATCTGCAACTGATGTTGACTAAAGAAGTCTCTTAGGCATTCATTTATATAACCGTGTTTAAAGATTAC